TGAAATTTTTAAATAAAAAATCATTTTTAAATGTTCAAATAATCTAGATAGCTGGTTGCAAGAACAAATTATAATAGTTTCAGTGTTTAAAAGGCTTATTACTTTTGCTTTTCCTTGTTTTACTTTTTATTTTTTTATTCTTTTTATTTTATTATACTCTGATCACCATTTAATAATACTCAGTTATACTTTTGTACACAGGGATAATTTTAGTTAATCACCACCTTACATAAAAGTTTTAACCATTCAGTAAGTATTTATTATGCAGATAATCTAGTTTCTATGTCTCCTACCTTTTTTCATTACAGTCCTTTCTCAGTTTGCTTTTTTCCATTCCCCTGAAAACATATTGCCACTTGGTTTCTTGAATCTTCACAAGTTGTCTCCATTTATTCTTCATACATACATAAGATATAGGATAAATCCTAACTACAGTGCAGTCTTAAATTCCACCATATTCCCGTATTCCACAGATAATTCAATACCCATTTTTTCCTCTTTAACATTCATTTTCTTCCTAAACAGATTTGTAAAGATATATTCCAGGAGCTTGTAGGATGGCTCTGTGGTTAAGAGTGCTTGCTGCTCTTGCAGGAAAATAGAGTTCCGTCCTCAGATCCACATATGATGACTTACAACATCATGTAACTCCAACTCAAAGAATATATGATGCCCTCTACTGGCATCCACAGACACATGCACATACAGATGCACACAATAAGGCACAGATTGATAAACAAACAAACAAACAAATAAATAAATAAGAAATAGATTCGATCAATTACTCTGAAATTTTGAATAAAAACAAATATTATTAAACTACTTAATTACATATCTCATACACAATACCATGACTTCTTGTTTACCCATTATCCAAACCTCTTCATGGAACAGCAGACACATATTATGCTGACTATATTAAAGGTCAGATAGTAAAAACCTTTTCTTTGCCAATACAGCAGAAAACTTTCTTTACACTGGTCAGAAAAAGTATAACCAGAAAGATAAAGCATTTTACTTTGATTTCTGCCAAAATTCAACAACCTCAATAGGTAAATAAAATTCACCCCACTCACCCCTAAACTACCGTGGAGTTACAGTGGCCTAGGAACAGAACAGTGTGAAGATGGCTTATCTATAAGTAGACAAACACCAAGACAGTAAGCTTGTGGAAGCTACTGAAACTCAAATTGCTTGATGTCATGTAGAAAATTACCTAATTTATTTGTACAAGAACAGAACAATCAATAAGAGAAAAACCCTCAAGTCAATTGAGTGCATCTGGTTTTATAGCAGTCAGTAATGTTACCACTGTACAAGTGTCTGTAGTACGAAAAGTATTTCAGTTCCCATGGACAAAGAATGGGAAAGGAAGAGAAGATTGATATTACAAAATGGAGATGTAAAAGGTCCAAATATAATTCATTTTCCTCTTCTACTCACTACAATTCCTATTATAACCAAAAATAGCATAAATATTAGTAATAATGAAATAAATAATTGCCTGTGCTACATAGTGAGCAAAGCAGGCAGTGTCATACACATGAACATTTTCCAGAATGGAGATAAAGCTCTCTGAACCCATTCTCTGCTACACACAATTTCCTTGCTAATTCAATGGGGTCTCTTCCAAGGAATCAGCTCCAGGTCTCTATTCTGTCCTTTAAACAGCTTCTCATTCTGAAAATGCTGGTGTCATTATGTCACCTTTATTTGGAAAACTCCCAAACCATTTGTCATTGCTGACCAGCTACTGGAATGCCAAACCCATCTAAACAACTTACAGAAATTCCTTCATGAAGATATCATCATATAAATATATCATCTGAAATCCAAGGACTTTACTCATTTAGAGATCTGTGCCTTCCTCATTTTCATGTTTTATAGCATAATTTTGCCAGTGAATCCAAACTCAAACCTATAGCTATTAACAGCTCTATGTACTAAACTCCCATTCTGACTTGATTTGCATATCCCTGTAACTGTCATGAATATTCATATTTAATCTTGCTTTGTTATCTCAGACTTCTTGTGATTATTACTTCAAAGATAGTTACATGGATCACCATGTAAATTAAAAAATAATAAATAGACATAAAAAATCTTATAGGTCCTTTACATACCTATTTCTGTTCACTAGTTCTTTCCTTAGTTATGTTTTTCCATTTTTTACTATATCCTCGGTGTTATACTAATTATAAATTGTGAGCTTGCTGGAAATCTGTATTATTTAAGATCCTCATCAAAGGAAAGGTACCATGGATGATCAGACAGTAAAACCGTAGGAGAATTCTTCTTTAGGGACTTTAGTAATCAGATGGGATATCTCATAAGATGAGCAGAGTTCAGGTACTTCTATGTCTAAAAAGAAAAAATAATGCAGAAGAAGGATTTCCAGGAACTGGAAAGCTAAGAGATAATAGCAAGAAAGTCTTTAGGAGCTGGCCACTCGCGCTGTTAAGAGGCCAGGATTAAACTATTCAATGTTTCTGTATGGAAAACTTATGGGCTGAATCCAGTTTTGAACCAGCAGGCAAACCAGAGCCTTTGAATGACATCTTCCAAGTCCTGAGATATAAGATAAAGTTGAGAAAGATAGAGGGATGCTTTTTGCCTTTTTCTAGTTTCCACATACTGAATAATTAAGCAGGAAGATCTGGCCCTTTGTATTTTTCTCTCCTCTGTCCTTCTCAGTTAAATCTTGTTTTCCAACATAGTTGGGCAGACTTCCTATTTGCCCAAAATAACATGGCCACTTTTATTCCTAAATCATTACTTAAATCAATAAATTTTATAATAACATTTAATGCTGCATGCACAGGTACTACTTTTCTCTAGAAGTAATTGCAGCTTCCTCCTCTCTGGGAGAAAACAGTGCAGCTTTAGGATCTTATCACATTTTATCTCAACTATTATGCACTTTTATAAGGCTTTTTACATATTGCCATTTAACATGCATATGATCATGTATTGATACCTGCCTTACTTACTTTCTGTTGTTGTGATTACAACACCTGAGAAGGGGTAATGAGGTTTAATAAGGATCAGGAGAAACAAATAGGCCAAATAGATGTTTATTCAGAGAGAAATAACTTACAACATAGATGAACACCAGCAGGTTCCTGGTCCCAAGGATGCCTCCGGATGTTCTCCTGTCCCCTGTGCTGCAAGCAAGAGTGTTTCCAGAGCCCCTTCCCTAGACTTAGTTCCCCCAAGTAATATCTGCTCCTGTCCCCACCCCTCAATGGGCGTGGTCTGTGCCACAAGTTCGGACAAAGTGAATATCTCACTACAAAGGGGCAGTTAGGGGACTAATTTTAGCTGACAGTTCCATTGTGATAGAACCCACAAGGTAAATGAAGTCAATGCTGGAGGAACTTGAGGTACCTGGTCACACTAGATTCACAACCAAGAAACAGAGAGATGAATGTGTATACTCGGCTAATTTTCTCCTGTTTTCACAATGTTGGTTCCCATCGCAGGAAACAGTGATGCCTGTGATGGGAAGACCTTCCTATTTCAATCCTGTAAAGGTAATCCATCAAAGACAGATTCAGAGGACTGTCCACCAGGTGATTTTAGGTTTCCTAAAAATGAAAATTGGAATTAACCAACATGATATCCAACTAGATTGTAACTTGTTAAAGACATGAAAATTTCCATGTTTGGATTCTTCATATTCATTTCTAATGGTACAATAGAGGCATTAACAATACCATCATCTATATAATTGGACATAGACATCCTCAACAGTAAGGAAATTACTCCTGATACTGGAAACCTAGCTAACTACCCAGGGCTAGAGAGATCATGGAACTTAGAGAAGTTACTACTGCCACAGACAACATTTTAAAGGCAAAAAGCAAGCCCATTGTAATCACTAATTTTATAGGTCCACTATCCCCACTCCTTTTCAAATTAGTGTTCAAAGCAATAAGGCAAGAGAAGGAAATGAACGAGATATGAATCAGCAAAGAAGAAGTCAAAATATCCCTGCTTACAGATATGTTCTTATAATATGAACACTCAAATTTTCCACTAAAAAGTTGTAAAAATTATCAATGATTTCTGCACATTAGCAGGAAGAAAAAAATCAACTTTTATATATCTACATGCATGTAAAAATAACAAAATTGGATAGATCATAAACTTGAGAGGGGGAAGAGAGGATGGGAATCTGGGAGGATTGGAGGATAGAAAGGGAATAGGGGAAATGTAATATTTTTTTAAAATAATTAAAAATATTTTAAGAAAAAAATAAAAAAAAACACTAATCTAACCCCCATAAGGAGTTGACATAAATAAAAAAGCTATTGAACTTTTATATTTTATGTTAGTTGTCAGATTTTCTATAAGAAAATCATATAAAAATGTCTCAATTATTATCATAAAGCAACTCCTTGATTCTTTTAGCACTGATCTTAAAGAAAAAATAATAAAAACACATTTTTGTCTATCTCCCTTCAAGTCATCTGCTTCTACTCTTTCATCCAAAGTTAGCACATTTTCTCTTCCAGTGAATCAGTCATTATTAGTTAGTTAGTTAGTTAGTTAGTTAGTTAGTTAGTTAGTTAGTTAGTTAGTTAGTTAGTTTGGTTTTTCTAGACAGAATTTCTTTGGACCGTTTTGGAGCCTGTCCTGGAACTAGCTCTGTAGACCAGGCGACCTCGTACTCACAGAGATTCATTTGTCTCTGACTCTGCTCCCGAGTGCTGGGAGTAAAGGCATGCACCACCAACACCCAGCGAATCAGTCATTCTTATGTCTCATCTGTTGTAGAAAATGCAACACGCAGTCATTGCAAGTGTGCAATGTGCTTTTAAAGGCTTCCTTCCTTAAAATTCTCGATGAAATATTAAGTTCAATATTATCATTTATATTTTAAGGATTTATTATTTGGACCAATTTAAGTGCCTGAAGATTTTGGAATTTAGAAATCTAAGAGATAATATTTTGTAATATTTTTAGATCCGTATGTATAAAAAAATTAAACCCCTTACCACTAACTCCTGTGAAGGCAGGTATAGCTCAGCCAGTGTAGAGTCTATTAATTCTGCATCAAAAGCAAGGCTTTCCCTGGATATTGAAGAGTTAATGGAGTCAGTATCTTCAGTCAGACTTCTTAATACCTTTACACGAGGTCTAGCCAGACCCTTCAGTATGACATAAAGCCCATCATCACCGATCACTGAAATAAATAGAAACAAAAACATAAATACCTGACTAATACATTGATTATACCTTCTGTACCTCCAACAAATTCTTTACCGCCTACCATATCACAGTAACCTCTGTGCAACACTCAGGAATTCACAGTCAAATAACAAGAATAAAAAGTGAATCTTTGATTTAGTCTATTTTTTCAGCTTGTATTATTTTATCTTTATTAACATAGAATTATATCATTAGCCAACCCCCTTTTAAACCATGTCATGGGGTTTGGATTTCAATGTCATTATTAATAAACGTAACCTGCTTGCCATGAGAAAAATAGAATTAGGAAAACTTTGCCTTCTCTCCTCAAATTTGCCATTTGCCTATTTTATATAGTAAGATATACCTACTAATAATTTTACTAATATTTGTTCTAGGCAGATAATTGGAGAAGCTGAGTAAATAGTTTTCAGAAGCTAAATGAATTTTAGAGTACTCATCCCACTCCACCTGTAGTCTCCACAACCTATCGTGCTACCTCATCCCTGAAACTCCACTGTGCACTGCAGTCCTGGCAAGCATAATTTACTGTTAGTACTACAATTAAAAATCACTTTGAGGCCTTAAAGAGCATATTCCTTGGGATATGGAAAATTGTAGTGTATTTCTCCCTTTCACAAATGTTTACATCACTTTATGAATGAAGATCATCATTAAAGCGCTATGAAATATCCTAGATATTGCTCCTGAACGATCTGTAAGCAGAAACTTTGCTAACTGACTTTCAGAAGCAATTATGTGTCTTTATATTTCTCCAAAGGCCAATTGCTCATAGACTCTGTACTTTTTTTTCTCTAACTTTAGTATTAACTCCCAACTATTACTCTCACAATACCATGGGAAAGTAATTTTAATGCTTTTTTTTTAAGTAGACACTTGTTTTGCATGGATATCTAAGATCAAAATGGATTGCATTCTGAGTATCACATAATCTATGTGGTGAGAGAACTGAAGAAAAAAATTGGATAAATTAGGTTGTCTGTGACTGATTCTATAGGGTGAAGATAGCAGTAAACTAAAACAGAAGACATAGAGACATGTTTATGTCCAGGTTTTGGAAAAATTAAAAAGGTATTATTTAGGTCTCATGAAAAATGCTAGAAAGATAATGTCTAGTGTGAATTCTGATGCAGGGCTGCTATTTGCTTTCTCAGTGTGAATTGTCTTCTTTTCCTTGGTCAAAAAAACTGTAATTTTATTGAACACAGTACAGGTAAGTTTAAAAGTACCACTTCCCACATGCTCTTATCACTTGTGTTTACTCATGCCATCTAACTTTGTTTCCTTGTACTCATATCCATTCTTCATGCTTATAAGAACCAGGATATGATACTGGAACTAAGACAAATTTCTTGAAACTAAAATGAAAATGCAGGACAATTCTGACATCTAATTATTTTTTCACTGATGTCTTATTATTATGTAATATAAATAAGTCCTCAATTTGTTTGCCCTTTAATTCTCCATTTTTAGAAGCTGTACCCTGTGTCAGCATGATGCTGCTGATACTTTCCATGGCTTTAGTATGATTTGTTCATATGTTACCAACATACATAGTTACATTATCTTTGGAAATATAACTGAAATTTCAGCAACTCTATTTAAAGAAGGGTACTTTATAAAGGAGTAACTATAAACAACTCTCAGAAAGGTAATATCCACATGCAATGCTATCTGATTTGAAAGAACATATTTAAATAAGCCAGATAGAAAGGAAGAAATATCATGTGATTACATATGGATCTCAACCTTAAAGAACCACATCATTGTGATAAATCTATTTCACATGTAAATCCCTTACAATTTATGGAACATTAAAAACAGCCAGAGTACATATACTAATTAGGACCTGACTGTCACACTGTTAGGAGCATGCTCCAAATAAATGGGGTCACCTTGGGGATGAGTGTAACTTCATTGATCTTCTCAAAAAATATTCCTTGACATTCAGGCTTTGCCTAGAGGTGGTAACTTTTGTATACTATCTCTTTTTATATGAATATGTATTTATAATAAGGCCTTGAAGGAGGCAAACAAAATGGAAGATTCACAGAACCATAGAAAAATATTTATTCGGAACATATGTCATAACCTTTTGTTATTTCAAATATATGTGTGTGTGTGTGTGTGTGTGTGTGTGTATGTGTGTGTGTGTGTGTGTGTGTATGTGTGTGTGAGTGCTCCTGTGTCTGTATGGGATTATAGTTTTATATTAAGACTATTGTTTTTAATATTAAGACATTAATATGAATGAAAAACTATTAAAAGAACATGAGTGCCCACTTGGGACCACTAATGATTTTTAGCCCCTTAAGTTATAGTTATCCTTTTAAGTGAATTGTTATATTATAGGCAGGTTTGAAATATATTGTATGTAATAACTATTTTTTGTATTGATCTTTTGTATCAGGTACCATGCTTTCTTGCTATGTGTTGTTTTTACTCTTTTGGCTTTTGAGGGAGCCCACCACTCAACTCCCAAATAAACCATATAAGGAGTCTTATTCTTAATTACAAATGTTTGCCCTTAGCTTGGCTTGTTTCTTGTCAGCTTTCCTTAAATTATCCCATCTACTTTTTGCCTATGGGCTTTTAACTTTTTCTTCTGTAAAACTTACTTTTATTCTTATTCTGTTGCTGGTTAGGTGTCTGGGTGTCTGGGTGTCTGGCCCCTGATGTCCTCCTCTCCTCATTCTCCCCTTTTCTCCTAGTTTCTCCTTCTGTTTTTACTCTTTGCCTGCCAGCCTCACCTATCCTTGCTCCTGTCTCACTATTGGCAGTTCAGTTCTTTATTAGACCATCAAGTGTTTTAGAAGTCAAAGAATCACAGCTTCACAGATTTAAAGAAGTGCAGCATAAACAAACCACAAACCTTAAACTGGTATTCTACCACACTTGCTATAATTTTATAAATCATGAACCTGAAGGCAATGAAAAACTGACTATTGTCTCTAAGTCCAGAGTTCCATGATTGGTACAGCTACTTTTCAACGTAGCCAACCTCCAGATTGCCTCTTAGTTTGTGTAATCTATGTGGTTATGCCTCCAGATACGTAGAGGATCAGATAGATGATAGATAGATAGATAGATAGATAGATAGATAGATAGATGATAGATAGATAGAGATAGATTATAGAATACAAGATGAGAGATATATCAATATACAATATGTATATATACATGTAAATGTGTATATACCCATTTTATGTGTAAATATATACATACTCATTAATGATGTGGCTACAGATACAATAAAACCAGACTAAAGCTGTAATCTAGATATATACTTTGTTTCATTTTAAGTTTTAAAAAGCACATCTTCAAAAATGTTTGTTTATAAAGTCAAAAACCAAACATCAGCAGACATGTCTATGAACTCCTACTAATGATATAAACATTATATAATTTATGAAGTCCTTAAAGACATTTGGTAGTATAATTCAGTATTCACTAAGTGATAGTGTATAACTTAAATAAACCATATCAAAAGGATTATATTAATTATTGAGCATATATATTGATACTTGATTGGACTCCACACTTATCTTTGTTCAGGCTATTTCCTTAAAATACTATTTAATGTAATTATATTTTAATGACAAATGAGTTGATGAATTATACTAAAATTATGGCTCATTATGAAGCTTTAATTTTAATCAGTATCTGAAAATATAGAAAGAAATGTTCCCACTACCCAAAGGCACTGATGCTGGTTATCGTTCTGTATATATTTTCTTTTATTGCTTAATGAATAAAACACTGTTTGTTCAATAAGGCAGGAAGATAGATGAGAGTAAGATACAAGGAAAATTCTGGAAATCATAGGCAGATGGATTTGCCATGTATTCCACGAAGGAGTAACAGGTCCACAACTTTCCCTAGTAAGATCACATGGAAATACATAGATTTATAGAAATGAGTTAATAATTAAGACAGATACAGTCAATAAGAATCCCTAGTCATCAGCCAACAGTTTTATAATTAATATAAGTCTGTGTGTTCATTTAGGGCCGAAAACAGCAACGGAATGAACTGGGGAAAAGAGCCTCTCTTTACAAGGCACTAGCTAGCTATCAATGACAACATATTCTGAGTATCAAATATTTGCCATGCAAAGCTAACAAGTTTTCAGATTAGTTCCAGTAACCACAAAGTCATATAGAACCAGTCTACTTTTCAAATAAAGAAATCAAGACTTGAATGATTATATAACTTCTTGCAAATTACAGAAGTGCTTAACCCAAAATCCATGACCTTCTGTAAGTTAATGAATATATTGTTACATCTGAAGAACACACCACACCCAAATACACACACACAAATTTTCAACCATGAGAACACAGAGAGAGGAGTATACTTCATGTGTGTTCAATATATCTATTTCTTAGATGAAAATTAATGTGTACATGTTGATTTTAGAGATCCATAAAAATTCTTGATAAAAAGAAATGTTTACTATGTATACCAGAATTCTAGAATTAATACTCAATTGTTTCTTTAAATTAATGTAAGTAGATTATAACAGAAACCGAATTAACAAAAATGTTTCAGTGAGAAAGAATTTAAGAACTATTTTGTGTTACTTGTTACAATGTGTAGACAAATAGTTTAATGCCATAAGAACTTCTTGAAGAAGAAAATAGTTAAATCCTCAAGGAATAATTGAAATACTGACAAATAAGAACTGGTGCTAATTTTATGAGTTGTAAAAGAATACAATTGTTGGTAATATAAGATTAACATAAGCTTTTGTAAAATATACTCCCTAATAACATTTTTCAAATATGTAAAAGTTTCACATAAATTTTAAGTAAAAAGAATGAAAAAATTATAAGAAACTGAGGCAATATTATGAAATTATGATTTCTAAGGCGCCAAATATATAACACTAAACACTATAAAATTAAGACTTCATGAAAATCTACCCCACAATGAGTATTTTATAAAATGTAACTGTATAGTTAATCTACATTA